ATAAATATATATATATATATCCATATATATATATATATATGGTATGTTTTCTTTCTTTCTTTTCTTTTCTTTCTTCTTCTTTTCAATCTGAATTTTTCAGCAGTTTGTTTGTTTCTTTTCTTTTCCAATCGTTTTTTCCCAATCTGTTTTCCAATCTTATTTTTTCGGTATGTCTTTTGTTTCTTTCTTTCTTTCTCGATCTTTTTTTCTCAATCTGTTTCTTTCTTTCTCAATCTGATTTTTTCGCAGTTTGTTTGTTTCTTTCTTTCTCAATCTTTTTTTCTCAATCTGTTTCTTTCTTTCTTTCTTTCTTTCTCAATCTGTTTCTTTCTTTCTGTCATTTTTCTCTCTTTCGTTCTCAATTTGTTTCTTTCTTTCTCAATCCGTTTCTTTCATTCCCAGTCTGTTTTTTTCTCTCTTTATTTCTTTCTTCCTCTCTTTCTTTCTTTTTTCTTTCTTTTTGAATCTCTTCTTCCTTTATCAATATTTTCTTTCTTTCTATTTTCACTTGTATTCATTCACATATTCATTAATTTTCTCTCAATTGTTTTTTTAAATCAGTTTCTCAAATTCTTTATATTCAATCTCCGCTGTTTGTTTGTTTCCTTTTTCTTTCGTTTACATTCTTATTTCTTCCTTTACCTTTTTTTTTATTTTGCTTCCATTCTTCAAATTTTTTTTATTATCATTTTTTAATTTAATACATATTTTAAAACTAAACTCTCTTCTCTCTCTCACTCTCCCTCCCTCTCTCTCTCTCTCTCTCACACACACACTTTGACCTTTTCTCTTTTTTCTTTTCTGAAATTTCGCTTCTTTTTGTTATTTTCTTTCTTTCACTTATTGTTTATTTTTCATTTTTTCTTCTGTCTTTATTTTTTCTAGTTTTTTTCGCATTTATTTCGCTTCTTATTTGCATCTTCACTTCAGATTCTCTCCATTTTGTTCCTCAGAGCCAGTTTTCTTCTCAGATTATCTTTTCACACATTATTCTTTTCTTTCTTTCTTTCTTTCTTTCTTTCTTTCTCCACATTTTATTTCTTTTAAATCCACTTTTCAGCTTTCTTTCTTCCTCTTTTCTTTCTATGTCTCTTTTTTTCTTTATTTGATTTGTTTTCTCTTATTTTGTAATTTTTCAGCTTTCTTTTATTCAGCGATTACTCACAGATTTATTGCCGTTCAGGGTTATGACATCCGCGTCCTGGGTAAGATGATAAACAATGTCCGGCAGCAAGGCCTCTGATCAGGAGGTTTTGAGGAGCTTGGAACCACCTCTTAATTGCTGGTGTTCCCAGGTCCACCATGACCCGGGGGTGGGTAGCACCAGTCAGGGGCGCAGCTATGGGCAAATAGTTAACCCCGAAACTGGGGTAAAAAGAGATTTTAATACCAGGAATATTTTGTAAAAAGAAATTATTATCAGCAATAAATTTTTGAAGAAAACAACTATTACCAGTAATAAATTTTTGAAAAAAAAAATATTACCAACATTACGTTTTTGAAAAAAATATTACCGGCAATACATTTTTGAGGAAAAACATATTACCAGCAATACATTTTTTGAAAAAAAAAATATTACCACAAATACATTTTTGAAGGAAAAAAATTATTACCAGAAATAGATTTTTGACAAAACAAAATATTACCAGCAATAAAAACTTTGTCGGCATTAAATAACCCATTGATGTTGATATACCGTAAAACAAACTAAACCAAACCAATCACAGATTTAGTAAAGCATTTCAAAGGCCTTTGGCAAGGTGTGGCATAAGGGGTTACTGCTCAACCTCTTTAGCTATGGCGTCACTGCAAGGGACTTCTCAGTTATAAAGTCCTTCCTAACGGGCAGATCCCTGAAGATAATTGATAATGGACAGTTCCCCTCGTCCCAGGCGATCAATTCGGGCATCCTTCAAACACTTTCCTTGCTCTACATAAATGATCTGCCTAAGAGTATACACTGATCATTTGTGAATATCTATGCTGATGATATAATGGTATATGGGTACACTTTCAAAATTTTCAAATACCAGAGCGTGGCAGCTGGTTTCTCCTCTGACCTATCAAGTCAGTGGAAAAAACACACACACACTGGCTGGTTACATTCAGTGCCTTGAAGACAAAACTAGTGACCTTCCACCATCACCGATCAGACCCAGAAATTTCAACAATCGTGATGAACGCAAGTTCCTCAGTGAGTCCCCGTAACTTGGGCGCCTATTGGTTCTTAAACACAACCTCGTGAAACTCGTACATATGATCCATCGCTAAAGATGCTAGAAAAATTATCAGTTCCCTGTACGGCTCCAGTAAGTAACTCAAGTCTCCCGCTTTCCTCTACCTTGACAAGAGCCAGATAGAGCCCCAAATAGAGTAATACTACCATATACGGCCGGGACTTCACTTTCCCCTCTCGATAGAATCCAAAAGCGTTACCGCGTCCTTGTCAGCGACGAATTATATTCAACTCTTCAACCCCTTTCTGACAGACGAGACGTCGTAAACCTCTCACTACTCTATCGCTATTTCCATGGCGAATGTTCAATGAGTGTTTAGATGAGCTACATTCCTAAGTTCCACCAGCTCTAAACTTCACGAGACATAGCCATCGTGCCACACACGTTCTAGCGAACAAAACACATTCCCTTCAAATACCCCTGCTCAGATGTAAGTGGCACTCAAGGAACTTTTACCCACGAATCGTTGGTTTTTGGAACTAACTCCTAAGAGGCTGCTTCCCCAATGACTACAATCTTAGGTTGTTCAAGTCTAAGATTAACCATTATCTTCCGTACATATCCACATCAGCTGAACGTCTGTAACCCTCTAACTTGAGTGGCTCCACGGCCTTGTACAGAGAGAACACCACTTTAAATAAGAACACCGGATTATATATCTTACTGTTCTTTATATATATATATATATATATATATATATATATATATATATATATATATATATATATATTCTTCCTTCTTCTGTAGTTTTCGACACCGCAATATTTGATTCTTTTTCATCTTTTTGTAGTATTTCTATACGCACTGTTTCTGTTTGTTTTATTTTTTCTTTCTTTTGCTTTGGTTTGCTTTGATTTAAGGTATATCAACCTCAATGGGTTATTCAATGCCGGCAATATTTTTATGGCTGGTAATATTTTTATCTATCTATCTATCTTTCTATTCTCAGTCTTTTCTATCTATCTATCTATCTATCTATCTATCTATCTATCTATCTATCTCAGTATATATTGGTTTGCTTTCCTTTGTTTTACGGCATATCAACCTCAATGGGTGATTTAATGCCGGCAAAATTTTCATTGTTGGTAATATTTTTTTTCAAAAATCTATTTCTGATAATATTTTTTTTTTTCAAAAATCTATTGTTGGTAATATTATTCTTAAAAAATGTATAGCTGGTAATATATATATCTAAATTTAAAAATTGTATAGCTGGAAATATTTTTTTAATATATTGCTGGTAATAATTTTTTTTCTTTAAAAAATTATTGCTGGTAATAACTTTTACAAAGTCTTTCTGGTATTAAAACCTATTTTTACACTTTCATAGTGTTTCATACTATTTACCCATTGCTGGGACCCTAACAGGTGCTACCACCCCGTGTCAGAGTGGACCTGGGAACACCAGCAGTTAAGAGATGGTTCCGTGCTCCTCAAAACCTCCTGAATAGTGGCCTTGCTGTAGGATGAGGTTTATCGTCATACCCAGGAGGCGGATGTAGTTTATCGTCTTACCCGGGACGCGGATGTAGTTTGTTGTCTTATCCAGGACGCGGATGTAGTTTATCGTCTTACCTAGGACGCGGATGTAGTTTATCGTCTTACCCGGGAAGCGGATGTAGTTTATCGTCTTACCTAGGACGCGGATGTAGTTTATCGTCTTATCCAGGACGCGGATGTAGTTTATCGTCTCACCCGGGACGCGGATGTAGTTTATCGTCTTACCTAGGATGCGGATGTAGTTTATCGTCTTACCCGGGAAGCGGATGTAGTTTATCGTCTCACCCGGGACGCGGATGTAGTTTATCGTCTTACCTAGGACGCGGATGTAGTTTATCGTCTTACCCGGGAAGCGGATGTAGTTTATCGTCTTACCTAGGACGCGGATGTAGGTTATCGTCTTACCCGGGAAGCGGATGTAGTTTATCGTCTTACCCGGGACGCGGATGTAGTTTATCGTCTCACCCAGAACGCGGATGTAGTTTATCGTCTCACCCGGGACGCGGATGTAGTTTATCGTCTTACCTAGGACGCGGATGTAGGTTATCGTCTTACTCGGGATGCGGATGTAGTTTATCGTCTCACCCAGAACGCGGATGTAGTTTATCGTCTTACCTAGGACGCGGATGTAGTTTATCGTCATACCTGGGACACGGGTGTAGTTTATCGTTATATCTAGGACGTTTTCCTTTTTTGCTTTCTCTCTTATTTCTTAATTTTTTAAAACTTTCTTTTAATCTTTATTTCCTTCTTAAGATTTTATTCTTTATTTTTCTTAATTTTTTTATTTCTCCTCTATTTTTTTACACCATCCTCTTTCTTTCTTCCTCGTTTCTTTTTCTTTCTTTCTCCTCACCGCCATTGTTTACCACTGCCTCTGATTTAATTCTTTATTCTTTCTTTCCTTCTCTCCCCAGATCTTGTTTTTCTTTCTTTCCCCGTTCACCTCTAACACTTTTTTTTCTCACTCCAGGGTTAACATTCTTCAGCCTCGGTGTCTACTTCGACGTGATGGCTAAAAAAAAAACTAATTTCCCATGCAGCCATTGCAGGCCTCGTGCACACATCGTTCTTATTTTCCATTTTTTTCTTCTTTTATTTCAATTCTCTTCTTACTTTTCGCCTGGAATATGCTCTTTTCACCTTCATTCTGCACCTACCCATCTTAATCAAACTCTTTCAGTCCAATTTGCCTCAGATATTTTCTCTTTCATCTTCCTAATAATTAATTCGACACACCCCTGTTTTAATTGGATTGGCTGACTCGGGAAGTGAGTATTAATTTTACGAATAAATTCAGGATAAAATAATTAACAACAATGACAACAACAAATCCAAAGAAAAAAGAAAACTTTCTTCGATGAGAATCCCAGCAATGATGAAAATCATTGTGTTTGATTTAAACAATAATAAACACAGGACAATATACACAATTGGATATTATGCAAATGAATGAGAGGAAAAAGTGCAATGTTGGCGAGAGACTGAAGAGGAATGAGAGAGTGAAAGAGAGAGAGATTAAGGTATTACTGAGAGAGAATTAGCTTGGAGCAGGATCGAAAGAGAGATAACTGAAGTTGAAAGTGAGAGCAACTGAATTTGAAATAATCATGTATAAGAGAGAAAGGAATGTCGAATGTGAGAGAGACAGAGTGAGGGAAAAACATAAAGGGGGAGAGAGAAAAATATAGATAGAGAGAGAGAGTGCGAGAGAGAGATAGTAATTGTCGAATATGAGTGAGCTATAGAGAAACAAACATAAATCTGGGGAGTTCGAAAGAGAGAGAGATAGTGAGGGGTAGTAATTGTTCAGAGCGAGAGTGAGAAACACGAACATAAAAATGGAGGAGAGAAAGAAAGTGAGAGATCCAGAGATTAAGAAACACACATCAAAATGGGGTAGAAACACAGAGAATGAGGAAAGAGAGAAAGAACGAGAGTTAGTAAATGCCGAATACGAGAGACTGAGTGTAGAGGAAACAAATGCCTACATTCAGATTCAAAAACATTCTAAAACTCAACAGATACCTGAGGAAGGTTGGAGAAAACAAAGCCAAAGCATTGTAAAACCTCAGACAAACAACATCTTTTATTAAACAGAATGGACAGTGGGTGTTTGTTAAGCCTTTTGGTCTTGTCATCTATTCGTGCAAAGTAACATATGGAAAAGTTATGCGCACGTCTTTGACGGGCATGCTAATTTCTGTTAGATCCCAACCGGCAATACAATAGTGCTCTGCTGATCCAGAGGCAGAAAAAATAATTAAAATTCCGGATCTCTTCACATGAAAAGAAGCCAATTGACCATCAATAGAATTTTCTTCAATCCAGGTGTAAAAGTTGTAAAATGCTTGCGTACTGTAGGATAATTTTAAGCACCTGACGTTAAATATATTCCAAACTCAAGTATGTGAATCCACGTTCATTTCAAAGGTTTGATTTGGCTACCTTTACTTGAAAAGGATCGTATTGGGAAAATTATATATATATATATATATATATATATATATATATAAGATATAAGATTTAAGAAACACCAGATATTTTTATATATAGTGCTCATTATTAAAAATATTCTAATGATATTAAAAATAGATATAAAAAAAATAATATTATATAAAAAATATATATATATTTTCAAGAGCTATATACACACACGCGCGCGCATATATATATATATATATATATATATATATATATATATATATATGTATGTATTAGGCTATGAATTTTGGACGTATTGAAAATAGCTGATTTCCTGTAGCATAATTCAATGAAAAATTAATGAAGAAAGACCCCACCAAAACAAGGAGAGCAATCCATATAAATATATGACCTCAAATCATTTGTTTTTGAGTTATTAAGTGTAAATGATGTTTACCATAGATGACACTGTGTTGCCATGTAGACTGGGTTATATTTGTCATTCATGTACATTTGTGGCTATACTCTCTTCAACGTTTAACTTATATAGTAAAGAGTTAACTGAGAAGTGTTCCGTTTCCCAACGGCAAAATATTCCTGGGCAGACAGATTGCATTAATGTATCAGATTGTGTTTCCAGACTAAAGTCAACCGAGTCATCAAACCTGCTGTTTATCACCCTGAGACAGGATCCGTGGCGCCAAAATCTATGAGTCGAGGAAGACCGAGATCCACTCGTACGCCTGGCTACGAAGAACACATTCTACATGGACTTTTGGACATTTTGGTAAAATGTAACATACGGAATCCGCCCGAAAAGTTTGTAAAAGTATTTTGATACAATTGATGCATGTTCAAGTCTAGTACCAACCGTTATCTTCCCCACATACCTCCATAAACTCTACAATTGATTCTGTAACCTCCTAGCTCGAGTGGCTCCCTAGCCTTGTAGATTTAATATTTCAAGTTATTTTTGTGTCATTTTACTAAATATAACTGTTAAAATAAGATGTCACTGTCATTTTCATTTTTGCCTAATTTAGACGAAAATTTAGCTATCGCCCATATATATATATATATATATATATATATATATATATATATATATATATATATATATATATATATATAAATTGTATCAGTTGTATCAAAATATTTAAAAAATACAAATACTTAAGTTTATATATATATATATATATATATATATTTTTTTTTTTTTTTTTTTTTCTTCAATCTTCGGATGCAGAAAGATATAATTCACGATTTAAAAAAAAAATAGATGGTGGAATCAGTCATGATTAATTTCGAACGTTAAATCTCGGAAAAGATATATTTTAAAAATTGTGGCACATTTTGTGTCATTTCACTTCTTTCTGGGAGGAATGTGACAGTGTGTGTGTGTGTGAATGTGTTTTATTATATTCGATCGACAACGCGTATTGGTTTAAAAATTTACTGTATTTTCCAATTTTTGAATCAGTTGTTGCATGCTGGGCGTAAAACTGAAAAAAAAATGCTGCCTAAATCTACACTAGCACTATCTCAATATCTCTCCATATATTTATCTACATATTTATGTCGTTTACAAATTCAGCTGAAAGCAACCTTTTAAGTCGTGAAGTTGCTCTTTCTTTTACTTGGAAATACATCGTTTGCATAAGTACCCCCCCAAAAACGTGAAAGAAATGAGTGGAGAACATCATAGAAACCCTGATGCTTTCTCCTTCATCTTTTTCTACTCTATTCATCCTGGTCAAGTCCGTTCTGTCAATGGGAAACGAATTGACACAAAACCAGAAATGCGAATGAGAACGGACTGCATTTGGAATTTTTGATACCAGCATCTGAATTTTATTTATTTTATTTTTTCTTTATGACAGCTAGTGAATATTGACTCACTTCTCTTTGACATATCCTGAAAACTGCTATCGTTACTGGCCTTTAGACAGAACAGCAGAGAACAGGAAAGTTTAAATAAACACCTACTTACATAAACCACACAAATGCTGCTCTGTATTCAGGGCGAGAACCGAGTTTATCCGATAGAAAAATAGCAACATTTTTTGTGTATTTTTTTTTCATGACAAAGAACTAAACTGTTTGGATTTTTTTATCAACTTAATTCTTTTTCCTTGATTTATTTTGAGAATTGTAGTCGCTTAAAAAGTTGCATTATCTGACTGACTTTGTGGGTTAAGACGGAGATATCAGTATATCGGGAAGGGCAAGTGATTCACGCTATTTTTGTAGAGTTATTTTCTGCTAAATTGATAAGGGATGAACAACCATTATATATACAGGTCACTTTCATGATATATATATATATATATATATATATATATATATATATATATATATATATATATATATATATGTATATATATATATATATATATGTGTGTGTGTTAAGAAGAGAGAAACCGCAAATGTTTTTGTTTGTAATGTGGATTTTTTAAAGATATATATATCATGCTTTATTTTCCATAATTTTGCAACACAGGTTTCAGGTCTCGCGACTTTCTTCAGGCAAAGTGTGGATATTTCTCCATATTATTAAAATGAATTAATTTTCCTTATTTTTTCGATGTCAAACAGTCTCTTTTTAGTATGGCAGAGACACAAATGTCTTTCTTGAACTGGCAGCGAGAAAAGTTCTTCTGATTGAAGAGTAATAAAACAATTAAGATTGGTCCGATAAATGGTGAGGATTCGTGTGTATTTGTGGCTATACTATCTTTGTTTAAAACTATTTATACTTTCTGTGGTATTAAAACTAGATACCATGGACATATTATAATTGAGTTAAGTAACTCTATTCGATTATGGCATAAATTATGTTACCTTCGTGTCAAAAGATTGTTTCTACTTTCTTGTTTATCTTTTGTTATTGTTTCTTCTTTTATTAGACCTATATTGGTTAAGGTTAAAGTTGAGTATAGTTTTCATACTGAGCAAGCATTTATTAAATATGACTTCGATGAATTATTGGAAATATCTACCGAACATCTTTGGGTAAAGTCAAGGAGAAATTATCATTCTTTGACTTTTTTTTTTAAGTTTTTCTAAATATCTAGCCATGGCTAGATTAAATTTCGAATAAAAAAATCCAATGCAAAAGAACAAAGTTACATTGATCAATTTATCTCGAAACGACTCGATTTCAAAATTGTAGCATCGGACAAAAATATATTTACTCTGTCGAGTGTTAATCTTTCAGAAATAGAAAAAAAAACTTGTTTTGTCTAGAGGCTTAGATTTTTGTATTCCCACTGGGAATGTTGATAAAGAACAAGTATTTGCGGAATTCGAAATAAATTATTCGCAATTACTTCATCATAAACACCCCTCTTTAGACAAATTCACTTTTTGTATGTCTAAGATTTCGGATTTAGCTTCCCTGTCAGTTGACTTTAATTACTTTGCTTGGCGTTGTGCTTATATTCGAACTATCAGGTCATTAAAATCGCGTAATGCTAATTATATATTACCATACTGGACAGAGGTGCTGGTGTCGTATCTTTAAATAAACAAGATTACATCAGTAATATGAATGTCAGATTGGGTGATGCCCCCAAATTTCGGTAAATTGGTCCTGCAGGTATTTATTATCATACTGATAAATTGGAAATTAAAATCCAAAAAGGATTATAAGTATACATAAGAGAAACCTTATAAGTAAAGAAACTTATAACCATATTAGACCCGTTAGTTCTCAGCGCGCTCTGTTATATAGAATAACTAAAGTTCATAAAAAAAAAGATGTACCCTTAAGACTTATTGTTTCTATGATAGGCTCGGTACAACATCAGTTAGTCAAATGGTTGGCAGAGTTGCTTCAA